AGGTTATTAACCGAGCTCATTGATTTAAGCTTCAGGAAGCCAAAATACTGACCTAGATTCTTCTGTATACCCGAGCCAGTGAATATCACATTTCTCTGCAGCATCACCACCTAAAGCCTCTTCTGCTGCTTTCTCCACCTCAGCTTCCCTAACTGTATAATGGAGATAAGAATTACCTACGTGACAGGGCTATTGCGAAGAGTAACCCTGGTGTACAGTAAACTCCCAGGACAGTGTGCGTCACTTTGTAGGTACTCCTGAAGGTTGATTTTGTTGCTATTAAATCAGTATGTGAAAGGGTTTAGTAAATTGGCAAATCTGAGGAAGTACTTGGTTTTTTTCCTTCTGCTCTTCAGCATGTCCTCCAGGCTGACTATGGCCCAGTTTTCTAGCTTTTCTGCTATGCCCTGTCTCTTCACCTGTTAATGCATATTGTTCTTCCCCCAGAACGTCTTCAGGCTCCTTACCCTCAGTGTTCAGGGTGACTGTATTCTCTTGTTTTTAAGAGGCCACGTCTTGATGCAGGAGCTCTTCCCACCTATGGTCTTTTATTTGTTGCATCCACTTCGATTTCCATGCAGAACCATGTGGCTCTAGGGACAGTGGTTCTCATTTTAATGTGCTAAGGATTACTTGGAGATTATTTTTTTAAATGCAGACTCCCAGGCAGTACAATTGGATTTTTATTCAGATCTGCTTAGGCGGAGTTCAAGAATCTGTGTTTGGGTCAGCATGATTCTTCTCTAGATATTTTGTGGGCTCTCCATGGAAGAACTCAGATCGGAGTTCTAGAGGTTCTGAGTTCCAGTCTCCCATCTATTAGCTATGTGCTTATGGCAAGTTACTTAATCTCTTTAGGCTTCAGTTATATCTGTAAAATGAAAATCATAAAACGTACCTAGAGTTGCTGTGATAATAAATAAACAAGATAGAATGTGTTAAATGTTCCTAACACAGTACCTGATCAAGAACAGGTCCTGAAAGCCGACTGAAGGACTGAATTAAAGTTTGTGTGATTTCCTGTCACTGCAAAGGCAGAGGTGCTTCTCTCTCATTCCAGTTCAGGGCCAGTGTTCAGTATTTCAGTATTCTGTTCAGTATTTCAGTATTCCTTGTCCCCCAGCGTGTTGTGCTTACTTCTGTTAAGCGTGTCGTCCATGAATGATGTGCTCACATACTGTTCTCCTTCTCTCTCCATTTTACATCCATGAATGATGTGCTCACATACTGTTCTCCTTCTCTCTCCATTTTACATCCATGAATGATGTGCTCACATACTGTTCTTCTCCCTCCACTTTACATGAGCATGAGGTTCTCATACATAACTGTGTCTTAGTTCTCTTTGTGTTCTGAGCATTGAGCACAGGGCTGAGCACAGCTGAGGTAGGCAAGGATGGCCTATTTTTTGCCTGGGGCACATACCTTTCAGTCTTATCTCTGGGTGCCATTTACTTTTTCCCTATGGTTTAGCTTCTTTGACTCAGGCAGGAAGACAGAGGAAGGGAAGAAAATAAAGTTTGTTGAATCTACAGTGTGTAACATAGTGCACTGACGTTTTGGAGCTGTATTATACAAAGTTCCTGTCCTCAAGAAGCTTGTGATTCCTTGAGAAAGATAGATAAGGCAGATGAAATCAGTGCAGTAGTCCAGGTATAAGAAAACATAAAAAATAGTGATCACTTATTTTCCATTAGATTTGAAGGTCTGCCCAGGCAGATACTGAGTAAAGAAGCTTCCTCACTATCACCCATCTCTTCACTGGTCCTAAATCTTCACACTAGAGAATCTTGAGCACCTGCTATGCCCCTGATAATGACAGTCTTTTTTTTTTTTTTT